CAGTGGGGTTAGAGTAAGTCTACCTGTGAGCAATCTTTTTTGCAGCCAGAAATTTTAATGTTATTTCGTATACGGGTGTTAATAATACGCCGTGAATACAAGGGCGTATTCCTGAACTAAGTTTGAGTAAAAAAAGCTCATATAAATATGAAAAGTCTAGTTTTCAAGATGCAGAATGTCAAAGTTTTTAATAAATGTTTTTATATTAGTATCTCAAAGATTCTTATACCGAGTTTGTTGAATTCTGGCAGAGTAGTCGATAGCAATAATTTAGCGTCTCAATACAATGAATTCGGTACAAGGATCTGTGAGATAATAATAAAAAAGCATTTTTTTATACTTCGACTCCCTGTGACTTGAAAACCAAGCTTTTTAGGACACAGGTTCATATGAACCTTTTTACTTAAATTTGGATCAGGAATCTTATGACTTATTTTGTTAAGTAGCACCCTATATTATAAAATATGAGCAAACTGCATGCAGTTCAGTCTATCATAAAAATTTTCATTTCGTATATAAAAAAACATCCTACTTCTAAGGTTCTACAAGATTCTCGGTTACAAAAATAAACATCATTAAAAAGTATATTAAGCTTCTGTATTCACGCGACGGATGCGGCGTAGTTTGTTACTCGAGATTGAATCTTGTTTAAGGTTGAATCCACCATCCGCAAAGCTTATTACATTCTTTTCCGTTCTTTATGCTCTTCAAAGGATTTCCAACAAATCCGCATGGAAAAAAAGTAGCTTGCACTCTCCGAGATTCCTTCCAGACCCTATATTAAAACACAATGCGCGAAGCTTTGCGGGATTTGAACGAAATTCCTCCAGCAGTCTACTTCCTCCTCTCAATCAATAGCGTGATAGGAAAGACGTTTTCACAGGTACCTCGGGAATTGGATTTCCAATGGCTCAATTTGAGCTTTCAGATTTAAGATTTTTGCTCATGTGAAATCAACTTCTTTCGTAACAGTGCATATTTGGTGGAAATTTGTCGGATAAGTTGTGAAAAATCCTGTATACAATTGTACAATGCCCGGAAATACGATCAATGTTAGGAAAATTAAGATCCGCCCATGGTACGGAGGCTCGATCTGTTTACTTATTTCATATGGCGTTGATGACGTAACCACCAAGAACGGTGACTACAACTATACTTCCATTTATTCATCTTAATGACCTTACTTACTTTTGACAGTCTGACAGTTGCATTTTCCTCTGAATCAAACTGCGACATTGGTACAGAGCCAAAATGAATCCGAGAGACTGTACAGGGTGGTCCATCCATGTGTGGACGGAATATTACTCATAAACAAATACATTTTGGGAAAATATATTTATGGCACGTTATACATGAAATTTGAGAGCACATTTCTAAAATATTGGCAATTATACAGAGTGTCCCAATTTTAACCTACATATCAAAGTTGCGATTTTTTAAATGGAAGGCCTCAAATTTGATTGCATATTTGGATAAACCAATTTAAAAGAAAAATATGGATATAACATACAATGGAGTTTTGGTAATTAGCTACTGAGATGTAAGTTGTTTTGTCCAGAAAAACCGTCCATTTGGGCAACCCCTCAATCCGCCATTTTGAAATTTGGGGTGCTGAATTTTGTATCAAAAAAACTTACACACCTCAGCTTTTATCTCATTTGTTACTTTTTCGAATATTCAGTTTTGCTCATACAGGGTGGTCAAAAACGCAAATTGTACTTTTTCTCAAAAATTTCAAATGCATCACCCTAAATATTTGTCCAAGTTTGGATTCAATTTTTTATGAGCTTTTTTTATACTAGACACATAAGGGTTTTTACGGCTATTTTTTTCGGTTATTAGCATGTCTTTTATGGAACGGCTCAATTCCCTAAAATATCGCATCATCCTTGGAAACAAATAAATTGTTGATTAGTTACAAACTGTCAAAATTAGCTTTGTGAGCACTTTAATAAAAACGAGTTTGAAAATGAATTTTTCTATATAAGTAATGGTGAATATGGTGTTCGTTTTGGGCGAAGCCAAAAGAAATAGTTTCGTAGCATCTCGCATTTATAAGCAACGGGGTTCGGAGTTGCTGAGTACTTTTTTGAAGTGGTACAAAAGTTCAAGGGTTTCAACATCTAAAAACTAAAAAAGAAAAAATATTAATTGACGCTTTTCGGGCCATATAATATAGTAGAAATGTAGATTGTTCGAAATTGTGTTTGCAAAATTCTATTCTCGTGAAAGTAAATTTTGGAAAGAGTGCACATATATACTAATATGTTGGAGGTACTAAGGCCACCTATCTCGTTCCACTTTTTTCCATTGATTTGTCCTATAATTCTCGAGAAAAGATGAAATTTCGTATTTTCGCAAAATTATATAGGTATAAACAAATAAATTGATTGCCTGATAAAAAACGAAAATTGATTATCCGTGGAATTAGGGACGCGTGCTACTAAACCCAAATAAGAGATCACAATATTGGAATATAGCAAGGAAAGTTTTTGTAAAAATGCTCATATTTAGCATGGATACAATTCAGTTCGAATGACGTTAGGATTACATAGTAAGCTCACCTCAATATACATTATATAGTTTTATTAATATATTGTGCCTCATGCATTGTACAAATTACTTCACTTCCGCCAGTAGCAATTCGATCATTTTACTAAATTATCTGCTTACTTCCAACAAGCATTTTCTGACCATCAGAAACTACACACGCTTGACGCTGTAAACGGCGGTGCGCGCGACCTGCCATAGCCGACCACTTGTGTGCCGGAGGCTGAAAATTGTGCCTGTGTGTAGGCTATGGGTACCTATTAACACATTAAGCACTAAATGAATAAATAATAGGTTCATTATCAACTCGCACAATGTTGATTGAAGCGTGTGAATATTCTCAACTTGACATCGATATTATCCCAGTGGAACTCGCTGGTGGAAACTGGGTGGAATGCAAATTTTATTTACCTGTATCTTGGGTAAATAACAACCGTGTTATTACCTTTATGGCACAGGAAAACTCACACCACAACAAAAATGTCTTTATATTTTCTTATATTCTAAGTGTATACTCACTGCAAGTTGTTTCTATTACAAACTGTTAGTATGTCGTGAAACTGAATTTTGAACCAGTTAACTGGTTAACTTTAACCAATTGAGCTGAAATTTTGCTCCCATGTCTGGCTCGCACGGCAATCCAAAATGAATTAACTGCCAACATTTTAAATCCAATAAGGCGGATGCTACAAAATGGAGATTTATCATTTCCACATTAACCCCTATGATATGGCTTGACGAGAGAAATTAAATTAGCAAAGTGACGTCATTCTAAATCTATTATAGCGGCCGCCGTAAAATGCCCATCAACATTTCTCAGTCACTTCTATGATCTATTGAAATGAAATGAAAATTATATAAAAATTTCCAAATTAGATATTTGACGTCATAAATACCAAAAAATAAAATATAAGTAAAATAAAAAATAGTTTTAATTAGCTGTAAAAAAATGAGCTTAAAATTAAAAAATATGTTTTCCGATTGGAAATATTAAATAAATTAAAGCGTGTTACGTTGGGACAGCAGGATGTGAAAATTTAAATTATTATTTAATTAAAATATAAATTTTCAGATGCTACAAAATTAATTACCAACAGGATTTCAGAACGCGATTATGAGAACTTCCGTTACCCCTCTCCCAAAATTTTGGAGTCTTAAGAGAGTCAAATATTGTAACTACAACTAATGACATTGACATCTTAAAATGAATTTTAAGAAAATAACGAATTTTCAGATACTTGAAAATATGTTCGCCTAAAAAGTATAGAATTTTTGTAAAATACCCTCACCAAGAAAAGCATCATGAGCTTTATCGCAGAATAGCTTCCAGAGCAACGGCTCTGGGACACCCTCATGTTCACCTCCATCATTTTCAGTCCTATCATAAATATTATGAAATTAAACATGCGTTTTCGTGATAGAACATCCAAAAACCTTTTTAAAATCCCAGTACCTTTGGCATAGATAATAAAACAGCAAATAAAGTTTATGAATAGTAAGCTATCATCAGAAACGAAGAAGAATTTATTACCAGCTGTTGTTATACATATTACTGGATGAAAAATTGGATGCATAAATAATAATGAAAAATATGCTATGAGAGTTGGCAGAACATGACTGCACACACAATCAATTTATTATTGGATGAATTATTCTACAGTGGGTTAACAATCAAATAGTTATTTCATTTTGATAGATAACTGGTAAAGAAAAAATAACAAAACTGCATGAAGAATGAAATTGCACTTTAACAATGCATAGAAAATTTATAGTGATTATAGTAGTAATTACCATATAGAGATACAAGAAAAAAACAATATCTCATTTTCGAACATTTTCGCGATTACGATACTTCCTCGCCAGTAGGCGTGGGACATAAAAGTGATCTTGTCAACAGAGATTTTTTGTTTTCCTTAAGAATATAATTAGTGTCTATATAATTTTTTGCATCTAAAATCATTTAGGCAGACAAGTTCAAATAGTGATTTTTTTTTAAATAACTATCATTGATCAGCTGTAGCATGTAATCCATACGAATAAATAAATGAGTTTAATGAAACTCATTGAGTTTCCACTTTTATTATGATTATTTATTTCCTACCTTAACAGCGAGAGGTATTTTATCTACAATCTACCGAGCCATTTCACTCATTTACACTCCTGATTCCTTCTAGGTGTACAGAAATAGTAGCAGGTAGGTTAATTTCACCAATTAAAACACTTAATTGCCACGCATTATTTATAATAATTCATAGCTCATCATTTTAAATGCGATTTTTACAACTAATCATTTGATTCCGTGCAGTGCGTTAGAAATGATTTCACAAGTGTTAATTTTGCTGCTCTACTAACACATGGACAAGAAATCCATCTAGTTCTAGATCATCACTATCATTATTTTTAATTGTTAGCTCGAACGTATATTCGCTGCATTTTCTTCATAACCAATAATGAAAACTGTTGTAATCGATTTCGTAGTATATTGAAAAACTTGTGAAGTGACCAACAACACTGTAGAACATTTGGTAAGAGCCAGAATAATAATGTCTATTTAATTGCTAATTGCTACCCGGGGAAGGTGATAGGCATAATTGTATTCCGGAATTCATCGTCGATTTTTACAATATTCAACAGTAGCGGCAACTACCAAAATCTCCACCGTCACCGTCAAGCTGGCAACAGCGTGGCCTGCTATCGCCCCACTCTACCTGTGATTGTCATCAGCGATAAAAACGTTTTATTTTGCACTAGTTGTTACTCGCGATTACGCATGCTTGAAATTGTTACTAACATAAAACAGTGTTTTTATGTATAGCTATAAATTTCCGATCACGTTTCGTAACCTCGATGGCATCAGTAAATTGACAGCCAACTTGCATGTTCGGGAAATTTGGTTAATTAATTAGTGGTAAAAATAAAATAGATTTTTGTTTGTATATTGATATTTTATTCAAACGCCTTTCTTACGCCCAGAATACATGAATACCTATTATAACAATTTCATTGCTTTCTTTCACCTTGAATTTCTACAATTGTCAAATTATCCTACACTATCGTTTTAAAATAAATCTGTATTTCTGATCTATAAAAACAAACTTAGCTGGTAAATTCATAGAACCTGCAAGCAGCAGAATAATCTCATTCGAATGCGGAACATTATGCATTTATTCATACAACGCCCAGAACAAGATTCGCTTTATTGATAATGCGGAAATTTTCGGATTTTTCCTTATTCATGGCATATTTATTCCGTTTTAAATACAGCCACAAAAGAATATTTATCAACCAATAGTCAGGGGATATTTGAATGATAAAAATATATGTTTGAAGTATTTTGACTGTACGTTTAATTTTCTTATGAATGTCGATGATATATGGCTTAACTAATTACTACGAAAACGAGAACATATAAGTGCCATCTGATGCCAGAATCGATCACTAGAGACTGTGTGTGTACGTTCAAATTGTATCATTACATTTTGTTTTAAGAGCCAGACTATAATCCTCGAGATGCCGCCAACACTTAGGCAAAATATATTTAAGGCTGTACTGAGCAACTATTTGTCTATAGTGCCGATTCATACTTATTGAGCATTATCAACACGTTAAAGCATTTCGATAGAGACTAGAACTGTATCAGATCCGATATATCGCCGTTCTCCATGAACAACTCAAGTAATTAAAACGTTGGATCCCTATTTTTACCAGGCACGTTAATTCTTTTCAGCAATCAAATAAATTCAGCATTTAATTCGTAAAGGCCGCTTCAGTTTATTTTCTAAATTGGACCAATGAAATATAAACAAAGGTATAAGCTGGTAAATGTAGATTCTTGCTCAAGCTGTTTTTTAGCGCTATACACTTTTCCCAGCGATGTTCAATAAGTTCGATACCCTTTTTATAATAAGAACTGTCTTGCTGCTCAAAATAGCCATTAACTGCCGACATCACTTCTTCATCGTTGGAAAGTCTTTGACCACTGAGCCATTTTTTCAAGTTTGGAAACAGAAAATAATCCGAGGGGGCTAAATCTGGTGAATAGGGTAGCAATTCAAACTTTAATTCGTTAATTTTGGCCATTGCAATAACGGATTTGTGAGCTGGTGCATTGTCTTGATGAAACAACACCTTCTACTTAACTAAATGCCGCCGTTTTTGCTTCACTCCATCGCTCAAACCTTGCAATAAGTTCGCATAATACTCGCCATTGATAGTTTTACCTTTTTCAAGATAGTCAGTGAAAATTATCCCACGCGCATCCCAACCGACGCCATAACCTTGCCTGCAGATGAAACGGTGTTCGCCTTCTTTGGAGCCGGTTGTCCCTTTTGAGTCCATTGTTGTAATTGTTCTTTTATCTCGGGTGTGAAGTGATGGACCCATGTTTCATCCATGGTTATGAAACGACGCAAAAATTCTGTTTTGTTGCTGTGAAACTTCGCTAAACACTCAATTGAAACATCTTCACGACATGTTTTTGCTCGATTGTGAGCAATCGCGGCACCCATCTTGCACACAGCTTTCTCATGTCCAAATTTTCAGATAATATGCGATGAACCGCACTTTTTGGAATGCCTAATATGTCTGCTAGCTCGCGCACTTTCAGTCGACGATCATTCAGTACCGCTTTGTGAATTTTCTTCACCATTTCTGGAGTCGTCACCTCATTTGGTCGACCACTGCGATGCTCAACGTGGCAGCTCATACGGCCTCGTTTAAACTCTGCTACCCAACATTTTACTGTTGTAAACGAAGGAGTAGACTCACCCAGAGTAGAATCCAGTTCAGCTTTCATATTAGTTGTGCTGACGTCTTTGAAATAAAAGTATGGTACCAATTTTCTCCATTTTCACAAATTCACTGAAAACGTTCAGTATTGATGGCTGCCAAACAAATACTAAACAACGTGGCGTCTTCAAACTTGACACTTATACTTTATAGGTTGCATACTTTCTAATACAATGATATTTTTCAAACAACTATTGCCATCTCTAGGTCAGGCCGGGTACTTCTGGGACCACCCTCGTATCTTAGAAAAAATAGTACTTCAAACAGCTGAAAACCCACCCAGATGATGAAAAACAAAACTCCTATTCGCCTATTGAAAACCATATATTTCATGTCAAACTATCACCGCCACAGAATAAATGTAGGACTTTTACTCACGCCTGACAGGAGCCACAATCACCCACAGATGTAGGGCCACAATCTAAGATACTGTACAAAACCTACTGAGTCACTATTACTTATTTGCCGCGAAATTTTACGTTTCCACCTTGGAGGATAAATGTTGGCACTTCTCGTTCACAAAAAAAAGTGAAAACATTATATTCCCTCGAAATAAACATTTTGGAAATACCCCATTACGTTTACACACGCAATTGCACGCGATACCGAGTTTTATGCTGTCACACTGACTATAGTGGCATTTTTATCTAGGTCATCATCACTTACATCAAAATTAACCTTGTTTTAGATCGGAGTCCTGCATAAACAACGTGAAACTCACCTTGAACTGTACCAAAGACTACGAGAAGAGCCCGCACAGGAACCACAAGCACCATAGAGTAGACAGCTCAATATACACCAAACAAACCAAGGACAAACGCAAATCTAACGAGAAGTACTACCGAGCCAGCTTAGAGAACGTGTCTACAGACGTTTGGAAAGACGGGTAAGAGATCCTGTACAAATAATGTTTATGGTTTCAGCTAAAAATGCATCTGAGTAGTATCCTAGTACAAAATGATATCACGAGTTTCTTTTTAGAGATACGGGTTCCTAGTGAATGGAACTGGCTTTTTCGAATAATTTTCCATAACCACCCCTCTTATGATGGTACACATAGAAAATCAATTCTGGCCGGAAAACTAACTTCTTGTAAAGCCTGGCCCTTTGTAGTGTTGTTTGACATCGATAAAAAGAGCTGTTTTTAATGTCTACATGATTTCCTAAAGCTTGGAACTTTTCTTTTCAAATGATCATTTATAAGAAATTTCAAGTACCTCTAGCTTGCCTTCGAGGGTTCCCCCTATTGCGCTGCCCGTGACTTTATCAACTTGATTCATTTTTTATGCAAGAACGTCATTGATTTTTCACCGAAAGCGGCTAATTTATGCCAACATAATGTTTATGAACTGATAATAGCGTTGCGTCGAAAGTGCAAAGTCAACCTACTTGACGCCCTTTCATGCAGCCATTTCGTTACGGCTATTTTATTATACTAAGTGACATATAAATCCGAATACCCAGTTTGAATGGTTTTATTTTAATAAAATTTTGTATAAGTACTTAATGAAGCATAATAAGTAAATGATAAAAATTTCAAAATGATTGCACTGCTTCAAAGCCCTTTGACCTTTAATAATGTGTGGATGCACCCTGATGTGCTACGCATTCTCCAACGCGCCTAGGCATGCTTCTGATCAGGTGGTCAATGTCGCCCTGTGGTATCTCATTCCAGGCAACCACCAACTCCTCTCGAAGTGCTTCCAGAGTCTGAGGAGGACGTTGCAAATTGAGCAATCTCCTACCCATCATATCCCACACGTGCTCAATTGGGGATAAGTCGGGAGATCTTGGTGGTCATGGTAACAATGTGACATCATTATGTTGAAAGAAGTCTATTGTGACTCTTGCAACATGTGGTCGGGCATTATCGTGTTGGAAAGTTGGATCTGCCAGGGTGTCAAGATAGGGTAAAAGATGGGGTTCTAGAACTTTGTGGATATAACGCTGCGCGTTTATGTCACCTCTGATGAAGATTAAAGGTGACCTGGAACCATAAAAGCTACTACACACAAACCAGCGGCAATGCCGCCGGGTTTATGCCGAGCGGCAATACAAGCCGCCAAGCATCATTCCGGTTGTGACAGTCACATAGAACGCTAGTGAAGTGCAACACACAAACCGCACAACACTACCTCTTGAATGCCAGGAACGAAGTGACGCCGGCAAGCCGCGTAACCCGCCGGCACACCCCGGCGGCTCCTTTGCACGGCAAGGCCGGCGGCTTTGTATGCCGCCGGGTGCACGGAGGCTTAGCCGGTGGCTTGCCCGGCGGCCCTGCCGCCGGCACTGTGTGTAGCAGCCTTAAGCTATAGCACCCCAAACCATAACTCCAACAGTGTGATGAACATGTCTTTCAACAAAAAACTGTGGATTCCTCCATTCACCACGTCGCCTTCTAAACCTGGCACGACCATCGTGCATGCCTAAACAAAATCGAGACTCGTCACTAAAAATACTGTTCCATTCCTGATCCCAGAGTGACCGTTGTCTGCACCACTCAAGGCGATTACGTCGGTGTTCTCGAGTTAAAGGGAGGACCCAGTGTGGCCGGTATGAAAACAAGCCAAAACTTCTCATTTGTCGGTAAACACTTCGCATGCCAATAGGTCTTCCGTGTTCTGCAAACCATTCATTTGCAATGGACCTGGTAGTGGAGAAACGGTCCCTTAAGGCCAATAATCTTCACGGTCATGGTCTGTTGTTCTACGGCGGCGTCCAGTGCCCCTTGCTCTTTGCGTACGGCCTTCTCGAAGCCATGCCTGACAACACCTAACCACAGTGTCTACACTTCTTTGCACTCTAACTGGAATTGCCCGAAAAGAAAGTCCAGCTTCCCGAAGTTCCACTGTACGGCCCCTATCAAACTCACTAAGTTGACGAAATCGTACAGGTCTCCGTACTCTAGGCATCGTAACCGATCGAAAAGGATGTCAAGAACCAAAATCCGCCAACGTTGATTCTTTACTGCGGCTGAAATATTCATTTTTAGAGCGTTAGTGAATTAAAAAAAAAACAGTATAAAAACCGGAATGTCCAACTGATAAGGGTGAAAATTGTTTCACTTGTTATTTACAGTAAGATAAATACATTCACCAACTTTTATTAAAATAAAACCATTTAAACTGGGTGTTCGGATTTATATGTCACTTAGTATATTTCGTTATTTGGCAAATAAAAAGAAGGTTTGGATGTTCCATAGCTTGTAACTTTTAAGGGGGTTCTCTATATGAGAGGTCGTGTTCCGCCTTCATTTATTTTTCATCGCTAAGGGATCCCTTATTCCGATTATAAGGGATGCCTGAGTGATCCACCGTTGAGTCTGGGGAGTGCTGTGCTAGAAAATCTTTATGAAGGCTGTTGAGCAAAGAATCAGGATAATCGATGACTGAGCGAATATCAAATGACTTTTAATGGCCACGTCAATTGCAAAAGAAGTATTACGATTGCGAAAAACTTCGTAATCAAGATATAATCAAATCCAAGCGAATAACCAAAATTTCTGTGTTATGTACCGCGGTTATAATATACTGGGTGCGCCATCTATTACTTTTTTGTTTACCTATAAGTGTAAGTGTTATCATGTGAGTATGCATAAATGAACTGTCAAAGGTATGCCATTTATAGTCATGGATTCGTTTACAACACAACAACGCATTTTGGTTATCCAAACTTATTACGAAAACGGTCGAAATATAAAAAATACTTTTCGCAAAGTTCGCACTAGTTATGGCCGACATGGACGCCCTACAGAGCCTGGAGTTCGTTGGATCGGTAATCGTTTTGAGGAAACTGGTTCAGATGAAGGTAGTAGACCATACCAACATGCTCGTCCAGCTCGTACTCGTGAAAACATAGCCGCAGTGAGTGAAAGTGTGCGAGAAGATCCAACCACCTCGACTAGGCACCGTTCGCAACAATCGGGAATTGTGAGACCACTTTACGCCGGATTTTATACATTGATTTACACCTCCATCCATACAAAATCCAACTAAAACAAGAATTGAAGCCGGCAGACCATCAACAGCTGCGTGTTTTTGTTAATTGGATGCTGGAAAGAGAAGACGGATTTTCGGCCAAAGTGCTCTTTTCTGGTGAGGCTCATTTTCACCTCAATGGGTCGGTAAATAAGCTAAATTGCAGATTCTGGGGGGCTGAAAATCCACACCAATATCATGAACAACCTTTCCATCCTGAAAAAGTTACTGTTTGTTGCGGATTATGGGATGGTGGCATCGTTGGACCATTCTTCTATGAAGATGCCGAAGAAAAGGCCATTACCGTCAACGGGGAACGTTATCACGGCATGTTAACAGACTTTTTGTGGCCACAATTGGATCGTATTTGTGCCGATGATCTTTTGTTTCATCAAGACGGAGCAACGGCTCACACATCTAGCCAAACAATCGCCTTATTGCACACGAAATTTCAAGACCGCATAATTTCACGAAATTCAGATGTCAGTTGTCTCCCGAGATCGTGCGATTTAACACCTCTTGACTATTTTCTTTGGAGATTTTTGAAAGGAAAAGTGTATGCGATTGGTCACCGGACAATTCAAGACCTAAAGCGCAATATTCGGACTGAAATTGCGGCCATAGACCCAATTATTCTGGGAAAAGTCATTGAAAATTTTGAATGTTCGGATGTTGGCCTGTAAACGAAGACGCGGTGGTCACATGACTGATGTTATTTTTCATACATAAATGGCATAAACATATCTTCATTTATCAATAAAAAAATTCGATTTCACCTGGTAAAAAGCGTATTGATTTTTCAAATAGAAAAAAGTACTCGAATCGATTGTACGCGATGGTTTTGACCGCGGTTTTGTTGCAAGTTGTTTATTTTAGAAAACCGGGTATACAATTTCTGACTATTTTTATTATCACGTGATAATCGGTGGTTTTTCGTCTACATAAATGACATTTTTTAATGGTGAAACCATGGCTTTATAGCTATGATAACTTTCAGTTCTCTAAACTTTTCCGCATGTCAAATAAAACATTTATTGATTTAGCAAAAAAGATAGGAAAAAGCGATGAAAAAAGATATTAGCAAAACCATAGTGGACATTATCCAGTGAGTTTATATGACCATATTTTAACATTCTTGTGGTATATGGCTACACAGGATACTTTGTTAAGTATAGGAACTTGATTTAATGTGTACCCAACAACAGTAATGAGTATAACTAATAAGCTGCTCTACTTTATGCCTGTATCAAGTTTCCCAAAAATGAAGCTGAAGTACAACAAAAATATTCAACTTGTCACATTTCAAATAATAACCAGAAATATAAAACTACTCTGGAGTTGGGTAAATACCACAATTTTACGCTGATAACTATGACATATAACAGCTGATTAATGACGTCATGGATCTTATAATCAAATTGATAACCACACTCGCTTGAACGGATCGGTAAATACCAATCCAAAATGGTAAATACCATTTTCATTTGGTTATTCGCTTGAATTTGACTAATGTTTTTGGATGCCGCATGGCAAGCGCGGGATGTCTCACTATAAATTGACCCACCTCTTACCTTTCTTGCTGTTCGTACATGTTCGTTGAAAATATGTGCAGTGGCGGCGAAGCTAGAAGTGAAATCCGAAAAATTTCAGAACGTCCTCAAATTCCATTTTTGGAGTTTCTGATGATCTTCGAACGAGGAACAAATTTTCAAAAACGGAAACATTTGGAAAAATAAATGACTTTGTTTTTGATGTTTTCCAATTTTCAGGTTACTTTTGACCACCACCACCAATGAAGCTTGAAATTTTTTTCTAACTAAAAATTTTAAACACATTTATAGTATATCAATATGTAGGAAATCTACCTATATGTTTCTTTTTTAGATTTGACGAACAATCTAGTCTAAGACGAACGCGCAGCTTGGCCATATCCAGGGAAAACTTATTCTACAGCTTGGACTACGTTTCCACTGAAGTTCAAGGTCAAGGTAGAAGAAGGAGAAGGTCTCAACTGATACCTAGAGCACGGCTTATCGACAAAAACAAAGATTACAGGTATTTTTATGATTCATAGAGAGGTTGAATTCAAAGAGGTGGCTATTTTGGTTACACATAACGAGACGAGGCAAGTGGTTGCCACGTGCCAGAATCACGTAACCTTTTTTTTACTATTTTGATCACTTAGTAGTCATTTGGATTTCTCTTTATTAATGGTAGAGTGCCAAACCCTTGTCAATGATTTTCTTTTGGTAAATTTCATAGTTCATTGATTGTATAATTTCGCACGTATTATATATATCTTTCTTTCTCAGTGATTCAATATTGTGCTGAAAAAAAAAACTCCGTGGTTTTTCTCCGTTACTTGGGGTTATTCGTTTCGACTCGGTCACTTTCCTCCTGAGATTGTAATGTGAGCGCCATTTGTTCAACTTCCAGATTCTGGGATATTAGGTGCCGAACACCGGTTTGTGGAGTAGTACCCCTTCATATAATACCTTACGTTTAGTTTTTTAGGTTTGCGTGCTACCCCGTCCGTTTTCTTACGGGATTTTAATCTTCAGCGTGGGAGGCATTGCGGAGAAACAGCACACAAGCTTTGCTTGTAGCTGTTTTGCAGCTGGTAATGCAAAACAATACAATTGTAGGACGCCTTTATGGCCTCCTTGATTGTCATAGTCTTTCCGCTCCTTCAGAAAGGTATTTCTAGATTTCTACTCTTTCGCGTCAGCGTCAACGCTCTCCCATTGTCAGTCTATGTTTCCTTCTAAAATTGTAGGAGATTTCAGGCTATATAACGGATGATATAAATCAAAATCATGAACAATTTGATGCAATTAGATATTTGTGATATAACCTCAAAATAGAGCGCTGACACGGAAGAGTAGAAAACTATGAAAATCAAGGAGGCCATAAAGGCATCCTACAATTGTATGAACGACTGACGATACAGCCCTTAGTATCTTTCGAAATTTATACCTTACTACATTCAGTTTCTGTAGTTTGTGCCGCCAAATTGAACTAATAAGTGCTATGACCGACAAATCACTTAAGAAAAAATCCCACAACTTCCTTACCTCCTTTGTGAGACGGATGGTTCTTCATTGAAGCCTACATTTTTCTCTAATTCAATTTACCACATACCTACATTTATCTAAAATGGATAGAAAATGAGATATTATAAGAAACTTGTTTTTGGCAGAAAAATAAGAGGTATCAAAATGGAAACTCAGCACATCGAAACGTATAAAAACTCCAGTTTTCCAAACCTCCTTTAAAAATGTAGAGGCAAGGCTCTGTTTGTATAGTGAATGATTCGACCAAAAGAGAAACTGCTAGCAGCTTTAACGATCGATCTATTTCTGATACTTTTATTAGAGTTTTGGCAGTCACGAATGTCGTACCTAGACATAAAATTTAACGTTTGTTTTATTTTGCATTTCAATCAATGATTCATGTGATAAATGTCAAATAATGCTAATGTTAACGTTTACGAATTGCCAATACATGCCTGCAAATTTAGCGAGTTATCAATGACGAAACTGACATGAAAGACAAACAACCTTTCCTGTAAAATTTATAGCAATTTAAATAAAAGTAGTTCGTTAATAAAATGTTGAAGCTACGCAATAAACAAAATTCATTATTCAGCCACTCTTTCATGATCAAAAGTGTTATAAGGCAAATCGTAACAAAACTATATGAACGATCCGTGTATTTTTTTTCTTGTTCGGGTAGATAACGGATGGATTTTTTTCAATTACATGTACATCTTTATTCTCAAAATTTTATTCATACCGAAAAACAATTTTCGAAAAATATTTATACACCATCACATACAGGCTGTTTTCTTTTACCGCAACCGCGGGGTCACCAGCAATCGATACCATTCGCCGCGCGTTACACGTTTCAAAGTTGGCCATGGCCTAGCAGACATCACCCCATCGCGTCCAATCCCGCTCAAGGCACTGAAACAAAAGAAAAAACTCGATTAACATCCAGATAGCCAGTTGTCTCTATGCTATTATGACGTCAAACTACACATCAACATTGAATACGTTCAGGATTTCGATCACGGGGGTAGATATCATCCCGCTATAGCACACAGGGATTTGACATACACAAAATTCATCAATACTATTCACTATCTATTAACTTTTTATGGCGTTATTTCCTATTTTTCATGATTTCTGATACTGCTTAAAAGGAGTTGCTTGACACACCGTGTTCAAAATGATGACACTTGAATTAACTGATCGAAAAACGTGTCTCGTATCTCAAACAATAATAAACTGCCCTCAATCCCTATTCAACAAAATACTTTAAACTATAAACGATGCCTTTTCCTGCAATTAGCTATTGCGTCACGGAAACGGTTGATAAAATATTTGAATAACATTATACAGCGTTAAATACACGAAATACCTGACGGCCGACACTAAATAATGGTGAATTGGCAGTGTATTTCATCTGAAATTACTTTGAACACATTTTTTTCAATATCATCACCTAAAATTAGACTATGTGAGATTTATACCAGAATTTGTTGGCACTCGGCGGTGCCGTAAAGACAACTAACTATCTCGATGTTAATCGTGTCCCAGTGCCTTGTTTTGAACGCAGTGTTTCAATCTCCACGTCGGTATCACTGTAAAAAAGCTTAACGTTTTCTTTTTAGTAAGAAATATCACTGCAAGATATTAAAAATCTTATACCTTATTCACAATGTAGTAATCTGAAACCCAACTGTATGAAATTACCATCCACGTACAGTGTTATCTAGAAAGTATTAAATCTGACTCAGATATGGCGATTATACTCAAGGATATTCAGAAGCGGCGACTTTCCAGATATAAAAATCAGATGATCCCTTTGAGAGCAATCAAAAACATTAAACATTCCTTTTGCACATTTCTATATGTAGCGCAAAAAACTCATCACGTTGAATTCAACCTCTACCAATCTTAATCCTCAATGTATATGTTACCTTAATCTCAGTACCATTTTCAGATACAGCGTAGAGAACCTCTATTCCCCACCAAGACGTAGTAGAAGACCCTCTGATTTATCACCTCCAGACTACACACCTCCAGAAGAAACGTACATCGAACATTATCATCAGCAACATCAAACCGTCGATGAAACTTACTCATTCCCTAAGAAGCTGAAAAAAACTGACAGCCTAGACTCAAACTCTAACAACAAATCATCCAAAAACGGTATTCAGGCATCTTACGAAGAACTAAGTTTGCCTAATTATTACCCTGAGGCTAGATACGATACTGATAATACAGATATCGTATCTTTAACGGATAATATATCTTCGTTGTCTTTGGATAATCTCAGCAAGTTTAAATATTCTTCCTTTGATAATCTCGATATCAAGTGGGATCGTATAGATCAATCCGACAGCATTCCTTATGACGAAAACATTGTACTGAGTCCGAACAAAAGTCTTTACGAAGAAATTAAACCTAAGACTATAAGAAATCCTACCGATTACCGAGAAGATACGTACAGCAAACCCAGTAGCGAACCTTCTGTGGAAATAAAGGAAATTGAAGAAACCGACACAAATCACGACGAAATAAACCTCAATAACGACAGTGTTGAAAAAGAAGAAACTTGCGACGATACATCAACAGTTGTAGAAGTATCTTCCGACAAAACGGATACAATAAAAACAATAAAAGCTGATGAAGACGCTGAACAACAGAAAGTGATAGCAGAAGATAAAGATAACACAATAAAAGCTTACATCGAAGGACCTGCCACCCCCCAAGACGACGAAACATACAAAACTGTCGTATCAGTAGACGTATCTCCAGAAAAACAGGAGGACGAAATACCACATAAATGCAAACACGTCAACAGAAAAGACCCGAAAAGTCACAGTCACAATTATCTAAAAGAGTTCCTTGAAACACAAAAAGGTTCTAAGAAACCGTTGCAAAACTTTATCGCAAAGAAGTTTTCACATCTTTCGCGCCGGCAATCTAAGGAGGGAGGTAACTTGATAGAGAATCAGTTCCACTCCTTGCCAGATATCAGCATTAGTAAGAATCTAAGGAAGTGCGAGAAAATCGACAGGAAATTGAGAAAGTGTGAAAAATCAGAACATCTGAAGCATAAAGAAGCATTTGGCGAAAACAGATTCATTGTTAATATTGGAAGGCATTTTGACATTACTGCAAACAGCTCAATACCTCTAGACTTTGAACTTAAGATTGCTAAAATTCCAAAGAAGGCAAAGAAGTCCAATACCAAAACCAAAGACGATCAAGAATTTTTGAACGCGATAAAAAATTTGAAGGCAACCTTACAGAACAGCTCTGTGAATTTTGACGAAAATCATAACATTACTAAAGACATGAATATTCTTAAGAGTAACGATAAAGATACTAAAGAATTCAAAGACAGACTTGGCTCTATGAGGAGCTACTGGTGTAAAATGACGGGCAGTAGTGCATCACACACTGAGGGAGAGACTTGCAATGAAGACGATAAAAAGAATGATATTTGCAAGATCGTTGAAGTGCAAACTAAAGTGGACGAAGTTAAGAAAAAGTTCGAGCAGAAACAAGAACAACCAGAGGAAAAACCACCCAGCAAAGTACAATTGACGAAGCAGCTATTTGAACCAAAACCGGAAAAAGAAAAAGTAGAAAAGATATCACCAGTTATCAAAGAAACTTGCAACTACTTTGAAAACAACGCGCATTTGTTCGATACTGAGAAACCATACGAAAGCCTTTGCCCTGCTAACGTAGAAATAGTTGAAGCAAAACCAAATGGCGTGTGTAGCAAGCCTAAGGAAAAGAAAGACGAAACTGATAATAAAAAATGTAAAGTTACAAAATCAAAAAGCATTGATCAACCAGAATTTGATCATGTTCGATACAAAATCGTCAAATCAGACTTATTCCAAAAGAAAATATTCGCAAACTGCGAGAAAGAATCTCAGTTCGATGGTCTGATTGAATACTTGCAAAACTATAGCTTCCAAGAGTTACTTATAGATAACAACATTGTTATTATTGAACCGATAAGATCTAAGGTGCCGTACGAGCCTTCAGAATGCGTAAAATCAATGAGAAATGTCACTCCGATGCTGCACAAGAGCAAGAGTGAAACTCAAGAAAGTGAAAAATCAACATTGAATAAGCATTTCTTCTATAGACCAATTAGAGTAAACAAAGAAGTGAATGATGATGAACTGCCCAACCCTGATACCGTAAGACAAGTTCGAGAATTTTTTGAAGGAGGTGTCAAAAAATCACGAAGCAACCAGGATATTTTAGCGAACAATAAAGAAAAACAATCTGAAAATACCAGTGATCCTGACAAAGACAGATGTTCAGCAACAGATACAAATTCTCACTCTAGCAATATTTCGGACTTTGACGGGCATGAGAATTTGTACGACTCTATAGACAACGAAATATACTGCGAATATGTCAGTGAAGATATTTTAGAAAAAATAAGAGAACGTGGAAGCACAGTCACTTACTATGGAGGAAGGGTTGTCAAACAGAACTCTAGTCAACCCTTGCTCACTAAAACTATCATGGAGGAAATCCAAAATAATGAAAAGAGATGCAACGAATGTAATAACTGCATTAGGAATAGTTGCGATGAGAACCAAGAGTCCTTCATCGGAATGAAATTCAGAATTCTGAAGTCAAATAGTTGCAGTAGCAGATTAGAGCTGGTAGGGACAGAAAGTTTGCAGGAAAGTAGGAGAAAAATGATGACACAGCACAGAAAAACTATGAACCAAGGAAATTTGAGAAGGAAGAGCAACGTGATCAACGAAGACGCAAACAACGAACATGCCAGCAATATGGATGATAAAAATGCAATCAACGAGCATATCAAGAAGCAAAATCAGAACCAACCCAAAATTATAGGTGAGGAGATGAAGCTTCAAGAAAATAAAATTACTCAGTGGAAAGAGATTAAGAAAGATGGCAGTTGCAATAACGTTAACTTTAACGAAAAACGGACGCAGAAGATCTACGATTATTACCATTACGATAAAATGAAGAGCAAGTCGAAGAAAATCGATGATATGGAGTTTGAACCATACGAGGTTGCAGGCTAGTTTTAAGGTTTTTTTATTGTTTAATAAAATTGTATTCTTTCGTACAGGTAACGATGAAAATACTAAAGTTATGAAGAATGGATATAAGGAAGGTGAAGTTATTGCAGATGAAAGTTAATTGAAATATTTTGAATTTTTTGCGTAAAAACGCAGGTGCCTCGTTATAATTTTCCATTTTTTGATTGAATATTGAGAATACGATGAGGATTTTCAGTAAATATACAAATATTACCAATCAACAAAATATCAAAATATTACTCAAGTGTTTAATACCAATTGAGAATTGATTTGAAATTCTTAGGTAACATTTCAGTCAATGCGATAAGGCATATTGGATAAAATATAGCATATCTCAGATTAAACAAAATTATTGAGTACGAAGGAAGATTACCAATATAAAAGATACATGTGATTTTTTGTTTAGGATGCATATTGTATAATAAACCGGTATAGGGTTAAGAAATAATAATTCTATAGCATATTACCGTTATTTATTTTACCAATTTACTTGACATATTGTTTACGTCTCGTTTCAAGAAACTAAGATATTCTCAATAAAACTGTTGAAATGTTAGGTGTTTTTTAATTACACTGCCTAAAATAAGTTCAAAGTTTTGAAAATCTAAAATTAAGGGAAGAACTAAAAAATTGAAAAAAGCAATGTTAAACTGTTTGTGCATATTCATGAGTTGCAGACCCTATTTCGTCATTACCAATAAAGAAAATGGTAACGTAGCCAATTATTCTATACAATGTTCTTTGCATTGTTGAAGTTTATTTTATCTTAGAGAGTATGAAAGGTCAAGAAAGTTCAGGCTAAAATTTGTCAAACCCCATTTTCAAAGTTTATGAACATTCGAGTCTGGATAATACTTAATAAATTATATACTGCAGTTCGGAAATACTGAGATTATAGCATCGAACATCGTCTCATGAGCGCTACCGTGTATGAAAAATATTGTTTTCAAATAAAAATGGGTGATTTTGTTCTATTTTTAAATGCTGGCACTGATGCCTGAAGACTAACGAACTGGAGTATTTATAAGCGATGCAACTTCCAAAATATATTTTTAAATATCTGCTGGCAGATTATAGAAACATATATTCACCACCATGCGACATACATAGATCTTTCAAAGTATCCAACACAAAAAATCTCGTTGAAACATATTATGCTGATTTGATAAGAGGCAACAGAAATAATAGGTAGTCAAGTGCCAAAGACGGGATTGTGACTAATTAAACTTTGACACTGTTGACAACGCTACTGTTCATCTGGAGAGGAAGTACTTTAGCATCTGCTCGAAAAAAAATCTTTTTTATGCATAATCTTATTATATTTAGGTTTTCTGGGCCATTCTGAATATGAACTTTTCTATAAATTTAAAATATTTTGGAGATATATGCCCTGTTCTTACTAACGCTGAAGACATAGTATCTCAAGTCCACGCCTATTTATTATTGGTATATCCAATAACTTGAATCATTCGCGTATTTTTCTTTCTGTAACATCAGAAAGTGGGACAGAACTCACACGTCTTACCGACCTGTGCGAGTTTTGATTCAATGCGATTTGGAAATTGTGCTTATTGCATCTAAAAGCAACCTGGAGAAAATAGGTATTTCCGGAGTGCCCTAGTGACATCGGAAAAGTACTTACTGAAGCTCTGTTCATACAGATGTCACCGACAAGTCACCGACCACTGTACGAACAAACCAACAGACGATTTGACATTTGCAAAAATGCAAAATATGTCTTTTCAACCTCGAAAAGACATTTTTAACGTTAAAAAAGTTATTAGTAAATAATCCTCAAATATCAGTTAATAAAGTCCTGAAGCATTTTAGGTGGTATTGTGAATATTTCTTTTTAATTGTTTATCAAGCGAGTGCTCAATGTATATTCTGTGGGTTGGCTCTTGAGTATATGAGTAGATTTTGGAATCATTGGATGTGGAAAACCCGAAGATTTTATGAATTGCCACAACTCCATCATTCGATTCGAATATTTATTGCTAAGCTCATGACACTATGACTCACATTTTATAGTATTAATCAATGATATAATCGATTTTGTTTTACTATCGTTATCAGTATGCCTTATCATTCTATTATCATCAATTTGAAAAATGTCCTCTAAAAATAACAAATGGTCTCATACTCAGACAACAAAATCTGTATGAGCGCTAACCGCGGGGATATATTGATAAAAATAAGGAAAAAAGATGTATATTTTAATATGGAGGTATATGAGAGACGTAAAAATTTGTACACTTCCTAATTGAAACCCGGGGAAGATTATAGGTAGGTTTTTATCCGCGAAAATATATAGGCTATAAGGATAGATCAAAATATCTCAAAAGTTTCCTAGATAAAAATATTGTAGATTAAAGTTGAAAAGTTTAAAAAGATTCGTCCATGGCTGATGATGAACGTAAGGTAATTTGACCCTCCTGAAATAATGTTTAGTTATTTCCAAAAGCCAGATATGAGCCTCTACCGATCAATACTTCACTGTTAATACTTCACTGAACCATAAATCGAATTGACAGCCAGTGTATACGCTCCACAAATCAATCTGGAGTATGGCCTTTAAGATTGCGGAAGTTTCAAGTTTTAAGGCGAATCGTTACAAAAACCACACACACACACTTCCTCCCCCCATGACCTATCTATAGCGCATATCTTGTCACTTAAATTGTCAGCCGAAACATATGTTGATTTAGTAAGTATTCTAGTCTATGAGCAGTAGCCAAGCAAAAGTGAATTTAGAAACCAACTTTGAAAATAATTGTTACGACCTTTAGTTCTGCTATTGTCTCATAGATGGCGATAGTATATCTCAGATCATTTTTGGACGCCTGAATACAGTATATGGTTGGCTTTCTTCAGGTAAAATACGTTAATCTATTCATGAAGCAGTAGTAGTATTCTCGAACTATACATCATTCAATATCTTGAGCTTTTCGGGTAAGATATTGTAGGTATACGAGTACACTGATAAATTACTCCATTCTTTTTATTGGTTCGGTCTTAAATGATTAGGATGATAATGATTGCTAAGTCTTGTATTGTTTGTGCTCATCTGAATGTATGCTCGTAGTCACGCCCGCAGTATCGAAGTGAATGCAGAAAGAATCAGCAAAGAATTAGCCAAAGAGTAAAAGGTGTTTGAAGGCTAGCTTTTTGACAGCATGTAGCGGCGTAGAACGAAGAAATGCCGAATTAGACTGACCAATCCAGAGAATAAAATACCAAAATGTCCACATTTTCCATGAAATAATCTCCTGCATAAAGTGAGCCATCAGGAATGACATAGGATATTCCGTGCCAGAGAAGTAGCTTCGTTCCTTATTCACACGATTCCAGGTCAGACGTGACATCTTAAAGCCCTTCCCTAATATTAATATACCGACCCGTATGTCCACTTTACCGAGAGATTAGCTTTGAACTTCCGGACTTTCAACCTAAAGCTCCGCTTGAAATGGAGCGACAATCACGCTTAATAGCCTTCACCATAGAATAATAAAGTAGATTCTGGTTAATATGATGTTTCAACATTTTTTGAAATTGTCATTGAAAAAAAATAAAAATTCTAGCATGTTTGAAATCCCGACCAAAATTTGTTTCTTGGGTAAATTCGGCGTTTGCCAGACTGTTACTTATCAGTTGTACGAGCCCCTTCCCACTTCAGTTGGCTCAACTATTGAAATGTTAGTTTTTTTCTTATCCAACACAAATAATAAAAATGTAGCAGGGTGTCATAGGTTTAAAATATTAACAATGAATATTTTGATAATATACAGTAGAAAAAACCAACTTTATCACTCCCTAATCAAATTTGCAGCATAAAAATAACATAACACATGTTGCAATTACAGCATATCAACCTATTTTCATTTCAATGCAAAATAAGTCTATAACGCATAGGTGGCTGTGAAAAATAAAAGCCTTGACAATTGTTTTAATTAATCACAGCTGTCAGAATACGTTTAAAATAGTTTTGGGTAGTTAAGGTTTTCAAAATGGGTAGAGGAAAGGTTATTAGTGAGAAAATTCGGTTACTGATAATTAAATTTTTTAATTCTGGGAAATCAAACTCAGAAATTGCAACTTTGTTAGACTTATCGCGGTACAGTGTGAGAAATATTGTTAGAAAATATAACGTAACTGGTTCAGTTAATATTAAGCCACGATATGTGAAAAAAAGTAATATCACAAATGCCGACCGAAGAGCATTAAGAAGAATAATCATGAAAAACAGGCGTGCCAATTATTTACAATTAAATGTTCTGTGGAGTGGCGCTGTTGGAAGGAGAGTTTCGAGGTCCACAACTCATAGAGAGGCCCACAAACCGGGATTTAGCACTTGCAAAGTAAGTTTTCTTATAAAAAAAAGTGAAGCAAAAACCCTAAAGTTGCACAACTTGTGTATAGGCCAAAAAAAAGCCACTATTAACTCCACTGCAAAAGAAAAATCGGCTTAAATGGGCTAAAGAACATAGACAATGGACACCTCAACAATGGTGTGCAATACAATGGAGTGATGAGTCCCGATTCGAAGTTTGTGTTGGTGACAGTCGCAGTAGAGTTATTCGCAAAAAAATGAAGCATTCCATGTTGACTGTCTGAAGAGAAAAGTGAAATGTCCAGCATCCATTATGGTCTGGGGAAATATGTCATCAAAAGGAGTAGGAAAACTTCATTTTATTGATGGAAATGTAAATACAAACAAATATTTGGCAATTTTAGAAGAATCGCTTTTACCAGTGATGGAAGAATGTTTGACATCCGGCCAAGATTTTGTGTTTCAGCAAGATGGTGCAGCGTACCTTACCTCAAAAAAGGCTATAAAATGGATGGAAGAAAATAATGTACCACTTTTGAAATGGGTTTCTAGCAGTCCAGATCTGTCACCTATTGAAACGTTGTGGCACGAAATGAAAAAACATCGACAACATCCTGCTCGTACAATCACCGAACTGGGACAAAAGCTTCAAGAAATATGGGATTGTTTTACACCAAATTTTTGCCAAAACTTGGTTAACACTATGCCCCAAAGAATTTCAGCCGTAATAAAAAATAAAGGTGATGTTACCCAATGGTAATCTTTCAATTGTTACTTTGCTAACTTCGCGCATTTATTCGCACATTGTTTATTTGTTCAGATGTTCTATTACTTATAGGTCTAAGTAATTTCAAATATGTATTTTTTACGACTAGAGTGTATCTAAAATGTTTTTGAGAAAATAAATTGTTTTAGTGACTGAAGTGGGAAGGGGCTCGTACAAAATATAACAGTCTGTTAAATAATAGTGGTATTCGCCAAGACTCTTCCGGCTTCTGATAACAAACTGACTGTCATGCAAAAATCTTAAATTTCTTTAAGTTGGTGCCTCTTGACAAAAAAAAGGGGAACCACATCTAACCTCACTTTATAGCTGCTGTGTGTTGTCATGTGGTTGTCATCCACAGTGTCAGTTTTGTAATGGTTTGGCATGGAAAAGTCTTAAAAAAAGATCAGCTAGATCTACATCAAGAGTGTTAGGAGAATCTTGCCTGGGTATTCCATTC